ATGGACCATCATTTACTAAATGAGCATCATCCGGTGTTGAAGAAAGATTTGAAACTAGAGACTGAGACCATAAACTCATGTCTACAATGTTTACTGAGGGAATAAATCGAGGGTCATTTTCTCATAGACGTCTATGGGACCAGAGGAGTCTGCTGGTCACTACAGAGAACGCAGGTTTTGAGACACTTTTGTGGGTCCTGAGTTTGTTTGTCTGCTCTGAGCGCGTCTTCACGTACATGTGGAAACCTGAAAAGAAGCAAATGGTGTTTCTTATCTCTGATGACCGCACGCAGAAATACTTCCACTACATGGAAGATCATATCTGAGTTTGCTTCACAGCTGTAGACTTTTCAGGGGATTCAGAATAAGGTTCAAGCAGAACCTTGGTAAGATTTCATTGATGTATCACGTATAGCCGATATCAGAAGTGCAATGAGTTTTATTTCTATGCGGTTTCTTTAGTTATTTGGGCCACAACACAATAACTTTCAAAATGAAAGAGACAAAAGGAGGTTTTTGAGTAGTCATCTCTCTGTGCAACTCAAAAGACGTTTCTAATCAAAGGGACGAGCGTAGTCGTGACTTTGAAATGGAAAACAACGGAGGGATCAGAAAACACATCCTATTACATTTATTTAAAATGTGATGCTTCAAATATTGGCAGATGAAAGTGTATTTTTCCGTCTCCAAACACTGTGTTGTATTCCAGCAGCCACGTTCTCCCAGTGTACGGCAGATTAGTCCAACCTGCCAGACACCACTCGCACTTTTCTCCTCTTTTCTTTCCTCTTGTTTCCCTGATTGTCTTGTTTTTTAGAGTGGTTGTAAAGACAGGGGGGGGGGTGGTAATCTAGAAAATCATCCTGGTGATGAGAAAAACTTTGACTGTGTGTGAGTATTGTGTCGTTTCACATGTCAGGGGAGCGAGTCCTCAAACAGGGTCACCTGGGCTCCACATGCTTCCCCATATGAATATAACACAGAGGCATTTGACTAAAAAGTGATTTAAAACGGATAAAAACGACGCTGTGTGGATGATACGTTAAGCTGTTTCACTAATAACATATGCTTGTTATATGCTGAGGGTCCTTGTATGTTATTTCATTATGTCGGCAGGA